TGTATATTATATTGTTATAGGTATAACATTTCTCGATTATTTCATTCATTTTTAACAAGATTATATGTAGCACAACACGTTGCGCTTATTAAGCGTACTTCCAGTCCGCTGGAAATAATGGCGACCGCTTAGTTAACATGTTGGAAAAACGTAAACTGCTAGGTGGCGGTCAGCAGAAAATCATACAACAGTTGCAAAGCTGCTTTCTTCGCTGAACGCTACCTATCTTTATCGTTCGTTGAATGTCAAAAAGGATAAACAATAAGTCAAATTCAATAAGTCAAATCAAAAAGATAAACAATGTCAAAAAAAAAACATACTATTAACACTGTTTGTGATCATTGAAATCATTTGAATAACATTGTTGGGGTTACGATATCATATATTTTCGAAAGATAGTTACAGTCATTATTTCGCATCTTTAGAATTAATTGATCTTTATAGATAATATTTTCATAAATAATTATAATTATAATAAGTATCATAAATTGATAGCAATAAGGTATACATTCAGATTATATACGTCATGTAATATATGTATTGTAGCATTCCAGTGGAACCATAATGCTATATTAGGTCTATTAGCTGTATATAATACTGTACAACTGATAAAGAAAATGTTAGAAAACACAAACACTACTGGCAGAATATTGCGAAAGATTTATAAACATTAGGATATGAGGTAAGTATAATTACTTTTTATAAGTTAATGAATCTGAAATCCTCGATATGGTATAAAATTTAACTAATGAATATTTTTCAGGTGACTTCTGATCAGACCAGATGGAAATTTAATGTACTGTTAAAGAAATATAAAGAATGTCTAAATCAGGAAGAAGTCCAATGACATTCGCTTATTTTAATGAAATGCAAGAAATGTTTGAACATCGGAAAAATATTAATTGCAACCACATAATCGATTCTTCATTTTTTGAGAGCAAAAGACAATCATCTTCATTCGTCGAATCTGATAAGCAAATATTAACAGCAACAAAAAGAAAACAAGCGGTATCATCTACATCTAGATCATCACCAACAAAACTTTCAATAATTGAATGTCAGCAAGAGTTATTAAATATGGCATCTTCTGCAACATCTTCTGAAACATCTTCTGAAACAAACATCAGTTTCTGAAACATTATCTTCTGAAACACCACTTTCTGTAATACCACTTTCTGTAATACCACCTTCTGTAATACCACCTTCTAAAGATAGAAAAAAAAGTCGACCTAGATCTGCAACATATGTTGCCAAGACTAAACTGGAACTAGAAAAGCAGTGGTTGGAACATCTAAAAGTATTAGGTATAAAAAATCAGAAGGAAGATGAAAAACTAAAAAAAATAGATGAGAGATTACAGTTAAAAGAAAAACAGTTATTATGGAAAGAAGAAGTAGTAAAGCGAAAGATGAAAAAGAAAGAAGAGAGGCACAGAGAACGAATGAAAATTGAAAATGAAAAATGCCAATTATTGAAATAATTAGTAGAATCAAAACATCTATTTTCTATGAACGATATTCTCTCATTTAAAAAATAAGAAAAGTACTGTTTATTAAAATTATATTTTTGATTATTTTAATTAAAAGTTATGTAAAGTTTAATAGAACGCAATATATTTGTAATTTAAAACTCTTCAAACAGATTCCTTTTTATTTTAGTATTTAAAAGTCATTATTTAATTGGAAAGTTTATGAGTTTAAATGAGTTTCTAAAAGAATTCCTTTATACCAAGTTGAATTTAAAGAAATATATATTTGTTTTAGACTAAAACAATTTCCAAAAATATTTTAGATACATTATTAAAAGTTACATGTTGTTAATAAATGTATAAGAGTTTTCAGAGTGATCTCATTTCAATAATAAGAATTATTAGTTTAATCAATATAATTTTGTTTCGTCAAAAGTCGTTATATAACGACTTTGTATTTGCATAAATGTATGCATGTTTTTTTTATTCTAAGCAAATACATTGAGTTACGTTTTTCGTAATAAGGTTTAAAAGATACGTGGACAAAGTATGCAAAGGTAATTTTATTTCTAAAAGTACAAATAAAAGTTTCTTATGAATATACATATGAGATGTGATATTATATTATCAGGAGACGCGATAGTGTCTCCGGCCATGTTCAACTATCCTAACTACTTTAGGATTAATGAAAATGAAAATGAAAGACACTACAAGTCTCTTATCCCGAGCCACGAAAGTCCATTTTTAGGGGGTACAGAACTACTAAAATATAAAAAATTTTAAATAGCACATAACACACCCTGAAAGGCGGCATCGCCACGAGTAATTTGCGCCAAAAAAAAAATAAAAGTCGGTGAAGCCGTTTTGGACATACAGGCTGTCGAAAAGTGATGATTTTCATAAAAAATGAAGTAACTTCTTCTTCTCTGTCCGCAGTCACATGCACCTCTCTTGTTTCTCACCTTTCACTCACATCTCCACCAACCTTGACCCCTCGCACCCCCTCCCCTCCTCCTCCCCCACCCCCATCCGCACCAAGCCTCTATTTTCCGCTTTATCTTACTCTCTTTCGTCCTCTCCCATCCCCTTTCGTCCTCTCTCACTCTCGCCTGCTGAAAGTGTCCGATGGTCACTCATTGTCAGAGTCGTGACCTTGACAATATGAGTCAGGGTCATTTTAATTTTTTAGGATAATAGCTTCGTAACGCGTGATGGGTGACAGCTACAACCTTCCGAAGGTTCGGTGTGATGACCTTCGTAATGTATGGGAGGGTCAAGGTCATCGGAGATGAACTGTGCATTTTAATTTTAATAATTTCTTAATGGGCAGCAGTCGCCTGCTAAAAGTGTCCGATGGTCACTCAGGGTCGTGACCTTGATAACATGAGTCAGGATCATTTTAATTTTTTAGGATAGCTTCGTAACGCGTGATGGGTGACAGCTACAACCTTCCGAAGGTTCGGTGTGATGACCTTCGTAATGTGTGATAGAGTCAAAGTCATCGGAAGTGTACTGTCCATTTTAATTTTTATATGTGTATCTTTGAGCGTGCTCTTTATTATTTAACATTTTAAATATATATTTTTAGTCATACAATTTGAACAATAGCACGGCATTTTGCTAATGTGGCCCTCTATGGATATTGATTACTCACGATATCTTTTTTTGTAGCTCTATGTTAATTTATTATATGTACTATTTTTAGTACTGTATAGCTTAACCATTTGGATTTCTTAAAAACGTCCATTTTAGGACGCGGCAATGGACTAAAACTGGATGAAATTAATACATTAAATAAATTTTAGACCACCATCCAAACAAAATGATTGTTATAAGAATATATAGATAGCCAATGAGAGCTCTGCTTTACATCGTCGCGTAAGAAAAAGCAGAGCTTTCATTGGATATCGCCCATCGCGTCTAGTGTGAACTAAGCGCATTAGAGACCCTCAAGTATCTCTTACGTTGTATCTCTTAGTCTCTCTAAGGGCCGATTGTTCCATCTTTTAGTAAAGTTTATCTGTTAGATAAGTAGCAAAATTACCCCATCACGCGGATTGCCAAATTTACTTATAACAGGTAAACTTTATCGAAAGAACAAGCGGCCCTTAGTATCCCTTCGCGTATCTCTTACTTGAGGATCTCTACTAGCCATCCCCTCCACTATAGGCCAGACTCTGGTATTCTAGAGACTCTATTCTCCCCACTGGTCTCTGACTGGGGTGCGTTCAAAATCGTCGTCCGGATTGTCACCCAGATGTTATTGTTTTATTCTTGTTGTTCACGAATAATAAACAAGGATAACACGACACCTGGTGGTCACGTGCTGACTGCACGTTGGAAGCAAAAGATTTCAAAATATTCTTAATATGGCTCAATCAGAATAAATCACTAAATAAAAGAAGGGCTACGAACCAATTATAATGTAAAATATTTAATAATTTAAAATTCGTACATACAAATGTTTCGACATCGATCGGGTCATTTTCAATATAAAAAACAAACAATATTACATAAATTATCGGAAAATTCGATCACATTATCATATCCAGTAAAAACGTCGGTTGTATTCGTAATATGCGGTCCATATGTAAAAATATCATAAAGGCGATCTCATCTCACCCTTCACAATTCTACAATCTTAAATTGTCTTAATGATGTAAGTTAGACGCCGAGAGGAAAACGCAATTAACAAAGTTATATTTAATAAAAAGTAAGCCATAATACTATTGGATATAACATTTATCCTCGACGATGTCAAGCGACGTTATCAAATGTTATTGTTGCTCGACTTGTCGCTTGCTGCGTACTGTCTGAACTAAGCTTTAATTTGGTAAATATTCGTTACCGGAGGTAACAAAAATAAAACTCCTTGTGCGATTTTAAAAAAAATTTAACGTCAAGTCAGCGAAAGCAACGCGAATAGCTTAGACAATTTTTTACATGAAATGGACATTTTTTAAATGTAAACATTTCCAAATGTAAACATACTTTGTACGTTGAATAACGTACATTTTTAAAACATTCGTACTACGTCCATGGACGTTTGGACCAGATTAAAACCAAGTCTGAATGTCCAATGGATATCGTGTACTGTCTGGGATGTCTGCAAAAGGTACCATGTCTGCAAAAGGCTGCGGTCCACTTGACGCTACAAACGCTTCGAAGCATTCTTTGATTAGTCAATTCGTAAAATTCTTTGTTCTGATTGAGCCCTCAAACGCTTTGAAGAGTAGTTTGTAGCGTTAAGTGGACCGCAGCCACAGACACCATGTCTGCAAAAGACACTGATGATCTGAATCTAGACTTTGAGGCAAATGCAGAATTACTGTTCTGTATGATATTATACGTTTTCGTACATCTTACCATCAAATCCTTCGCGAAAGAAGTGAAACGTTATTGATGGTAAAAGCCGTTTTGCAAGATTATACCCTTGTAGTCATTGACTGTTCGCGATAAAACGAGTCCGTCAACAGTGGCACCGTGGATGTGTAATTAGAATTTGGATTCAAAGAAAATGTACCCGCGAATACTACAGCTTACTGTCTTATCATACACGACCGCGTAATCGAATACAGCCCGTCCAACGTAGTACTCAAGATTACGTAAATTATCGTTGCCAAAAAAATATCCTCTCCTCTTTTCAATGTAAAGGATGAAAGTCAGACTCTCAAGTTACATATATTAGCCATCCAAAGCTGTACATCATCTAATATTGTTACTTGACCTCTGCGATCGTATGGGAACCGCTCCTTCGATGTTCCACGAATCCTGAATGTTCATAGTTGTATTACTATGACATATCTGATCAATAAATATTGTCAAAAAGCTCATGTATAGTTAAAATATACGTGAATATATAGTTTCATAAACGTATGTAGTTTCATAAATCTAAAAAATTTTAATTTAATTTGTCCAACAAATAGTTTGACTACAATGATGATTATTGCAAATACTTTGATCACTGATATGGCATTATACCATAGTCTCTTGATTATAGACTTAATGAATTATAATTAGGCGCAGTTTATTTAAATAGCCATTATAAATAGTTCTAACTATTGAAAGCTAGTAATAACTATTCATATACAAGGTGCCCCAGTGTTACATCCTGGTTCGCGTTTGTTTCGCGAGCACAAGACGTGACACGTTTCGGCGGAGCGCGGGTGCAGAGTGGGGCGAAGCCTTGGCTTCAGCTGAGTTTTGTTTTGGAGAGTTTTTGCTCGTGGGCAGGCTGCTGTCACCAGTGCCTTAGCTATCGGCACGATTTTAATATGAGTATCTTTTATTTTTATGTTTTAAATTCGCTTATTTCGCGGTGCCTTCGTGTACCTTATGTGTTAAAGAGAAAAATTTAGTAGAGAGTTAGGGGAATCGTCAGATTTTAGGTGCTCAGCGAATGTTGAGATAACTAGATCTCTCGCTTAAACTTATCATCACATAATTCTCCCTATCTACGCTCTATCTTCTCTTTATAGAAAGGCACAGGAAGGGGAAATAATATCACAGATGTGTGATATGTTTTAACTATTTTTATATTTATGCTACACCTTTGATTAGAAACTATACATGGGTTTCTCTTTACGGAAGTGATTAATTGGGGCCTAGTGGGCTTCCTCTCTGGGGCCACGTGAGGGGGGGATCGACTGGGCGGCGGTCCCCTG